CTCCCTCTCTCTTTCTTTCTTTCTTTCCCCATAACCCCCATTTCAGTCTTCATTTCTATTACCTCAGCTGCTGCATCTTCTCTAACTCTCCTGCCTCCTCCTCCAAAGACTCCCATGGTTACATTGGATCCACCTGTATTACCCACAGTCCTATTGAGATCTACAATGACATGTTCAAAATCCCCTGCCACATAAGGTAATCCCAGCACTTGGGGGCTGAGGCAGGAGGATCGCCACACGTTCAAGGCCAGCCTGGGCTATATCATGAGTTCAACTCCAGCCTGAACTACATGGCAAAACCCTACCTTGAAACAAACAAAAATAAATAAAAGTATAAAAAGTTGAGGCCCAGTAGGTTTAGCAATAAACACCATCTCCTCACCAGCACCTCCCAGAGGAATCTAAAATGTGATTTAAGAGCGCTGGCAGGTCACGAAAGGTCACACTTGCTGTAGGCTTCAAAGAGCTCTCATAAACTTCGCCTGATGCAGTCCTTGACCTTTTCACCATTAGATGTTATGGTTGGTCCTTCTAGATTTGGATGTGAATATTTAATGTGCAGTAGATGTTGGTTTTGAGCCATTTTTTACTGTACACTTCAAAATAGCCGGCTGGGGATCCCGTGACCGGTTCGGCTGGCTGTATTTGCATTCAGGGACAGTCATCTTTGTCAAGAGCAATCATCACCGACTTCAGCCTCAGAAATCAAGCCTTTGGGGTTTGAACCGTGACTTCTGGACTGAAGGGTGAAAGTGAAGGATCTATGTAAAAGGCGGGGCTGACATACACTTTGGGTCCCCTGGGAAAAGCTCAGGTCAAAGAGGCCCCAGGAGGTGAGGGGTCCGGGCGCTGGGCGAGAGGGAGGTGCCCACGGCACGTGTGAGGCCAGCGTTGCCGAGCTCCTCAGGGTGTCGGACTCAGATGCCTGAAGTCTTCTCCATCTCCTCACCCACCTTTACCTCTGTCACCCCTGCCTCTCAGGCAGTTTTCGGCAACGCGGAATGCTAAGATCGTCCTGCTGCAGTAGCGCCTTTCACGCCAAACCAGGTCTAATTTAAGTGAAAACACTACTAGTCTGTGAAGATTCCCACTGTCCACGTGGCTGGATGAAAGCCAAGACAGGGTTTATATCCAAAAGACAGTGTTATTTCTTTACACCACGTAGCTCAAAATAAAAATGAGGCTAAACCACAACTTAAGATAGTAAGTCTAATTTAGGTATAAAAATTCTGATTTTTCAGTTGGTGACTACTTTGATTTTTAAAAGTAATGTCAAATGTAGTTAAAATTATTTTTCATGGGGTTACACACACCTGTGTGCTGGGAGGCTGAGGCAGAAAGATGCCAAGTTCAAGTCTGGGCAACTTAGTCCCTGTCTCAAAATTTAAAAATGTTTTTAAAATTAAAGGCTGGGAATGTAGTACAGTACGAAGACCCCAGGCTCCATCTCCAGCAACCCCACCCTCATTATCTTTCTTCCGGTGCCTGTTCTGGTAGTATTTAGCGCATATGCTGTTTCTACCAGTGTTCACTGGGTGAAAATTAGAAAGAACTCCGTATTTTATTTTTGGGGGGATTTTTGGTACCGGGGATCAAACTTGGACCCTTGAGCTTCCAAGGCAGGTGGCAAAACCACTGAGCTAAATCCCTGGACCAAGAACTCTGTATTTTGAATTCATTATGGTGTGAGCAGGCTCCTTGCCGTGGCCAGGTTCTGGGTTCTCGCAGTCACCAGCGAGGTAACTTTGGTGAGGTGTCTCAGCCTCCCCATGTGGAAAGCACCTGAAGTTTGTAAGGACTGAGTGACAATGTGCTTTGTATAACAAGCGCTCCGTGTACTTCTCTATTCATGACATCTTTTCCCGTTCCTCCGCTCTTCACACCTTTAAATACCTACACTGCGCTACGCCCAGGTGACGGTCTGGGGAAAGACAGGAAGAGTCCTGACCTCAGTTCACAATCTAGAAGAAAATTGGTTTCTAAACAGGCAAGCACAGCAGTGTCACAACTTACTAATTTCAGAGAGAAGAGCTCTTCCTGTGCAGCTGGGGTAAAATTCAGTGCCAATTCTGAAGATTCAGGAATGTCTATGAAATTTCTTCAAAAACAAGGCTACTTGGCTTCCTTAGCATATTTTTCTGATTCAACAGCAATACCAATGTATAGTGCACAGAATGATTTTGAGAAGGTTGGGAGATACTTTTTGAAAAATCATACTGTCCCAGGAGGTAATTTTTTTTGACACATCCAATTAAGAATAGTAACAAAAAAAAAAGCCGGCCAACAGCAATCCTGATCTCAAGGCTGTGGTCACACACCTGAGCACAGAAACGGCTGTGTTTGAATGCAGGGAGTCAACGTGGCCGTCTGGGAGCCAGTTCAGGTTCTGGGTACTGAGTAAGTCAAACACTTCTAGTCTCTGCCTCCAACCCACCCCAATTCGTCCTATGCAGTAGTCTGTCCATTTTCTCAGGTGTCCACCCAAAAGTTGTTTTGCGATAAACCACATTCAAACTGGTTGACATGGTGCATTTTTCTTACCAACTCCTACCTCAACTCTTTCTTCTCAACCCTACTCCAACTCAACTGGCCTCTCCGGAGGTGTTCACCTGCCCCACCTCGTTAAAGCCTAGGGCCCTCATTACCTACTGCCATTTGCCCACTGATTTTTCAATTCCTTCTCCCAGCCAGTTCTTTAACAAAATTATGAAACTAAATTTTTAATAGTCCTAAGGTTCACATTATCATGTTAAATCTTTTAGGATCATAGTTTCATGTATGTTAGGTACAAAATACTCCATAGTCCAAGTCTTCCTGTCAACATGGGTTTAAACTAACTTCCTTTCAATACCTGAAACCCATTTTTCTTTTGCATAACCCACCCTTGTAGAGGAGAGGCCGTATGCACAAAACAAAGTGGATATTAAAATTAGTTTATTTTTCTACTTAACTTTTAATAAATGAGAAGAAACACAGTAGTCTGTCTCATATAGAACATTTATAATACATTAACAATCCATAAAGCCTCGTGGTGAGGTAGGAACAGCTTTGGAAAATAACATACAGTCATAAAACATACAAAAAGGTAAAACGTTGCAGCACTAAGACATTTTATCTGCATCTGCACTTAATGAGATGACCGGACCAGGTCTGGCCCAAAAGGCAGGCAACAGCAGACACAAGAACAATACATGGTGGGAGTTCTGTAAAGAATCACAGAAGACACTGATACATTTCATTGTGCTGTTTCAAGGCAGAACCGTAACATGGCGTTTTGTGTCTTTTTATATATAACTACATATTAATTGTATGTTACATTCCTTTCAGCATCTTTTGGCCAAAGTCACTGAACCATAAAATTTTTGGTTTAAAAGTTTAAATTGAATAACATACAAAAGGCTTCTGTGCCAGTGAAAATGAATGCTAAATATTCTAAGCTTGTTAGTAAAACAAAATGGCGTTGCCACATTATCGGTAGAGCTACATCAAAATAGTGCTTTACAATTCCCATTTCAGAAGACCATAAAACACTGTACGACAGTTTCAACTTAACAACAAAAAAACCTTCCACCTTTCTCAAGAGTTTTAACACTGTTTCGTCAACTTAGCTGAAAGTCAGTATTAAAATAAATATTTTTATATTGTAGAATTACTCTGCATACCTGTGCATGTGTGAACATTTTAAGACAGCAGGTTAATGACATGTTCATCATTCAAATATTTGCTTATAAAGAAAAATTCTTCAACTCAATACATATTAGCCTACTAAATACTTCACATTAGGTTCCATAGGTCTTTTCCCTCAAAACTTTCCAAACTCAAAATTAACAGAGGATGTCAACGAGAAACAAACATGTTAACAGTCTTCTGTGTACTGTGATATTTTCAAGGTGCATTAGGAAATTTTCCCTATACAAATTACATACCTTAGGATACAGTTAGTCAACATTTTCATTTCAGCAAAACGAGGATATTATCAGATTTGAGTCCATACTTTTGCTGTAATAATCTCCAGGAAGAAAAAAGAGGAGCAATCACACAATGGACAAGTTGACAGCGGAGAGTTAAGTTTCTCATCAGTAAGGCTGCATTTGGCTGGAGAACGTTTCTGGTTGGTTTCAATTCAGGCACAAGCAGCAGCACCTCCTTCTCATCTCACAAACGCAGACAACAGACAAGTTTCTAGACACACATTCCACACTGACCTTACTCAGGAGCCAGGAGGCGAAACAGACACAGTGCATGGAACAGCACACTTACATAATGGGCTTGAGTCTCCTAAAAGTAAATCAGGGTATTTCCCACATTTTCTTTCAGGAATAAGCTATTTTGGAAAAGACACTTAAATCCCACAACATTTAAACACAAAAGCATGTCTTTTTTTCTCAAGGATAATGCTAAAATAGCTAAAAATGGGTTAGAAAGTGCATTGTAAAGAAATAAATAATTCTCTGCTAAAACCCAAAAGATGAGTCAGTGCCCAATTTTCCTATGACAAAGTCTTTTGAAAAAAAAAGAAAATCCTATGGTACCACTGCTACAGACGAGCTACTTAGAAAGTATGAAAAGGGAAATAATTAAAACCTAATGTCTATAACCTTCAAAGCACTTCTGCAAAATAAGCCATAGCCCTCGTCCCATTCTTTCCACTTGTAAACGTCCTCACGTGGCAGTGTCTTTATACCTCGGTGTCACAACCACCTTTCAGACCGACCCCAGAGCATTTGCTAAGAAAACCCACTGAATGTAATGCTCTTACCAGCTACCCTAGTGTATCCTTGCTGAAATGTCTATATAACAAATTGTTCTAAGACTCTAACATTGTTCTGTGAAGCGTAAGCCAGCGATACACATGACACAGTACAGTTCACAGCTTTCTCTCCTTCACCAGGTACATTCCTCAATCTCATGTTTGAAAAAAACCAGAAACCCAACCTTTTTGCAAAATTCAAAGTAACTACTAGGTAAAGAGCTGAATTACACAATTTCAGATATGAGTAATAAAAGGTTAAGATGTATTGCAAATTGGCAGGTTATGCTTTTGGTCCATTATAGCAAATGTGAATTTACAAACTATGTTCTTAAAATTACCTCATTCTCATTAGGAAAAAAAAAAAATCGGCTGTTCTTAAATAGGCCCATTGCCTGCAACAGGCTTAGATTAGGGAAAAACACACCATCTCTACCACAAAAGATTATCCCTTTTAAAAGGGACCGTCATATCCCAATACTTTTTTTAAGACCTATTAAGCAATGAATTATTTCAAATCCCAAAAAGGTAGCCATCCCAAAAGTAGTCAGCTATAAAAGTCACTGAAGTAGTCAGAATACCTTGTTTCTAGAAAAATAGAGCTATATATCACTGATATTAGTACTCATTCTTTTGAGGACAAAAATCTACATTTTCTTCACAAAGCATAACTCTTCTCTATCAGGAAAAATATAACTTAACATGCTTAAATATTTGTGTTGGATCTGAAAGCTACAGCATCAATGAAATAGCCAAGAAAAAATTTTTGGGTGGATATAGTGACATCTCGTAAGATTAGCCACTGGAGGAACTCAGCAATATTGAGACATGATGACTTATACAATCTTTTCCAATTCTTTTGCTAAGAATTTAATATGCAAATTGATTATCTATCTGATATTCTTGTCTCCAATCAGTGGCTCTTGGCAATGTGCATGCATTGCTGGTTGTGCTTAAAGCTGTTTGAATCATTACCATGAAAACTAACTTGCTAAAGTTTTTAACAATGCAGTTTGAAAGGTTAGTAGCTTGCATTATATTTTGTGAGGATACTTTCAGCTCAATGTTTCTAACACCATCTTTGAAAGAAAGAAATGCTGGTATATCCACGTTTCAGACTAACTTTAGTAAAACAAGATGAACTTAAATTCTCAGAATTTAGAGACACAGTCTGAATATCAATGAACACTAGCATCAATATTCAGCTGGTAAACTTTCTTTCTTGCTGTTATCCCTTATATGTCCTACTATGTGTCAACTATAATTCAGTTTAATTATCTCACTGTTTATTACTCAGAAATACAGAAAACAGAATAGTAACTGATCTTATTTCCTGCTAATACTCATGAGTCACTCTTAAAATATGGTGCCATTATGCTATGTAATGATATCAAAGGGCAAGTAAACATTCCCTAAAACGTCAAAGGAAACAAACTTGTTGATTTTAAAGGTCCAGCAATTATAACTCTAACAAAATATAACAATGGGGGAAAGAAAAGCAGAGAAATTCCAGTAACAATTTTATTTATCCCCCTAATTTTTGTCATGGGAAAACTGGAAATCAAATGTCATTGTTATAAGGTTTATACTTTCAACAAAAATGTAACATAGTGTTCAAACTGGCTTTCAAAATTTTTTACAGCATAGCTGTACTGTGCACTAACAATCACAAAGTTGTAATATAGAACTGTTATGCAGTCCCATTATGTTCTTACAAAAATAGAATTAAATGTGACCAGACAAGGACTTCAATTATACTGCTTGGCAAACTCAGAATTTCAATGGAGTCTTTTTCCTCTTGCAGTTTATAGCAAAAGTCAAATACCACCTCTTTTTCAAGACTCACAAAGATGATTCAGGTTTGTTTGGCACTTTTTTAACCTCTACCACAACAGCAGGGACGTTTTCACCTTTAGTCCTCTTGGGCTTCTTCTCCAGACTGTCGCTGAGTTCTAAACAAGAAATGCTAACCGAACGGACCTTCTCTGTATCCTTTCCAGAATGGGCTGGTGGTCGCGTCCCACAGCACTGCTTCAGAGCACACTGAGTTCTGCAGGCGAGCTCACAGGGGACCACGCTCGATTTAGAGCCTACGCTAGCAAATTCAGGCTGAATGGTGGTAGCATGAATTCCGTGATTATGGAAAACGTCCTTAATGGTTTTAGCCACCTGCATGTAGGAGGTCGGGTCTTCACATTTTATGTGAGCAGTGGCAATGATTCTGCTTCCGGCAAGTTGCCAAACATGCAATTCATGAACTTCCTCAACTCCTTCAACATCTCGAAGTTCTTTTATCAAATTTCTGATATCAATTTGTTTAGGAACAGTTTGTAGGAGAATAAGAGCGGATTCCTTAAGTAATGGGTAAGTCGTGTAAAAAAGAATACAAACCATGACAACACAAAGACTTGGGTCTAAATAGAGCACCCAGCAGGGACCAGCCTCAGAAACGGGTGCGTGCGTGTTGTTAATCTGTTCTACAAACGACTTGCAGGGGTCAGAGATACACGGGTTCACACAGAAATCCCCTTCACCACAACCTTTCCAGTAAAGGTAAAAGAGAATGGCATTTACTACAACAATCACGGACCCCATGGCATCTCCCAGCACGTGCAGAAACACGCCTCGCATGTTCAGCTGCCCTGCGGGGTCCTCCTCGTCCTGGTCAGCATCGTGGTCAGGCTCGCCGATCAGGTTCCCGTTCACCTGCACTTCCACCGCATCCTCACTCCTGGGTTTTCCTGGATCTACAAAGACACAGAAACGGTTTATCAAAGCATCTCCAGCATTTCCATCAACATTCCTGTCTGATTCCTCTAAGATGCGGCAAAGGTGAAGGCCTGTTCCTAGAGTGCTTGAACATGAACCGACCTGCACTCTGGGGGGAGCAGGCGATGTGGCCAGGCCTCAGTGAGGCCACGGTCACCCCACTTTCTTCTCCGACAGGGTCCTGCGCACATCCTGCTGGGATTTTTTGCATGCTCAAGACTATTAGGAAAGCTGCAACTAAATGATCTCTACCCTAAAACCCTTCAAGTTCAAAGCATTGGTCTTTTAAAAGAATTAGACACCAGAGTAGCTTAATTTTCCTTGGAATAACACCGCACCACACGGGATGAGAAGGAAGCCAGCATCAAGCCTTCTCCAAGCATAACCTCAGATTCACTAGTGTCCTGAACTTGGGAAGGAAAACTGGCTCTGAAGTATGACACAACTATGTAAGCAAACAGAAATGGAAAAAAAGCAGAAGGAAACACACCAAATTATTAGTATCTTTCAACACAGAAAGCACTGGCCAATTCTTTCTCATATTTTTAAACATTTTTCACATTTCCTTCAAAAACATATGTTTAAAAGGAAAAGTTTCTGTGAAAAATACAAGATCACCCCGGGCAAGGGCTGGAGTGGTGGCGCGCACCTGTAACCCCAGTATTTGGGAGGAAGAGACAGGACTGCTTTGAGTGCAAGACCAGCCTGGGCTACACAGTGGGTTCAGGCCAGCCTGGACTACAAAGCCCCCACCCCCCAAAAGAGATCATGCCGGACATGGTGACACACGCCTGTAACGCCAGCACCGTGGGAGGCTGAGTTCCAACGCAGCCTGGGCAACTTTCTGACTCTGTGACACGCGGTCTCAAGGCAAAGAAAATAAGTAAATAAAAATTAACTGGGGATGTAGCCCAGTGGTGGAAGGCCCTAGCTTCTATCCTCAGTACCACACAATAAAAAGGTTAACTCCATCTCAACCACTGATTTTAGCACCCCTATGAAAGTTCTAAGTGAAGTAAATGTTGAACATGCCCAGACAGGTCCTAAAGCCTGTGATCTGCAGGATTAGGCAGCAATTAACTGAAACATACACTGCTGTTCATACAGGAAGCCTTGAACCAGGACTGATACGCTCTGGGCGCATCATTCAAACTCCTCAATAGGCCTAACTACCACTTGGGCAGAGCGAGGTTTCCCACATCCAACAACTAACGAGTTGGGGAGATCTGGGGGTTTCCTCTTTCCCAAAAGGGCCAAGGAACTTTGGCCCGAAATTGGAGGCATCTCCGATCCCCCTCGGAGCCTAAGCGGGCAGGTCCCCTGCGCAGCCAAGTGCGCGCAGAGCGCGGCGGGATGACAGTCACCTGTGCGCT